AATCGTAAAAAAAAGGGTCAGTGTCACCCATGTGTGAGCGATGCGGCACTGAACGTGTCGGAATAAAGTTTATCCGACGTGATCTAAATGACGTATAGCTGTATTAGTGACAAAAAAAAGCGATGCTCATGCGGACAATATAGAAAGCACGTTCATCGTGAACAATAAACCGGCATCCATAAAAAGCCCGCGAAATCGGAACAATCTTAATAACGCACAGGAATTTAAAAGTCCAGATTCACAGCTGAGATTGCGCGTTTCGATCTTTTTGTAACTGGTAAACTCGTTCAAAGTTTTACGCATGCGGTGCTATAAAAATGGAGTTTTTAATTCCGGTACAAAGAGCCGCGCAGCAAAAATACACAGAGTCCTTTTTTTTTATTTCTACATCCCGGCCACAGGATTGTTTCTGTTCGTTAACCGTTCGCGGTGTATCCTTTTGTTCGAAAAAATGTTTCGAAAACTCCGGTTTTCTGCGTCGGCTGTCCTCCGGTCAAATGCATCTTCGATGCATTTTGTTGGACCCGGGCATTTTTGCGTTCCGCGAATCGGATCGGTCGCTGGCCATGCGTTAGAGCTGATTCCCAAACGACTGGAAACCAAACGACGAGTCGCGATCGGCCGATGATGCGCGCGCATCGCGCGGAATGGTTTCCGATCCGGGTTTTGAAAAGCCCGATGGGACCGTAGCGTTATTTATTTTCGGGCATGCAAATGCAGAACGATTATTGCCCGCAGATCCGGACGGCCATTGTAAATCGTGTAAATCGTTCTTCATTGGGCGGCTCCGCGCAATACTGTTCGCTGTGTTGCGTTTTGATGCCGGTGAAACGTAATGAGAGAACCTTCTCTCTAATTGACGCTCAAATTGAGCACAAAAATTTGGGAAAAGGGGATACGATTATTCGAGCCTTGCGTTTTATTTTTATAGTTATAAATTGTCCACAATTATAAAAACGAGCCGCAAGGCTCGAATAATCGTATCTCCCCTTCCCAAATTATCCATTTCAGGGGACAATCTGAGCGTCAGTAAGGGAGACATTACTGTACTTGTCGCGTCGTGAATAGTATTCGTCGGTTCAAATTTCGGTCACTTCCGTTTTCACACGTCAAGACAAACTGAAATCGTTGGCACGAAATTTTGGTTATTTTCATCTGAAACTTGCCATTTCAAACGAATCTTTAGAAACATTGCAAAATGTTATTCTCGTACCTAATACTTTGTAGATATTTCCTTTTTTATGCATGAAGAAGCATTTAAATTGTTGTGTGCCTATCAAATTTTTAATTATTTCTGTTTTTATTTCAAGCTGACTATTTTCAGCGAACGATTCTTTTCTAAATATCGTGACATGTTATTTTTGTAAATAACATTTTATATAATAATTTTTTTTCTTCTTTTTTGACACGTCGAGAGGAATTCAGATCTTTGCATCAGTATCCAATTCTTATTTATTTCTACCGTCGACTCAAACAGATCATTTTAAATTATCAGAATGAATTATGTTCTTGCAATCATTACTATATCATTATTTTATTCTTTCGCTTCGTTTACTTTTGAACAGAAAAATTAATAACCGACTCCATTCATCTAATCGAGGATCATCTCTCCTGTACATGCACAAAATACGTACACATTATTAACGTTAATAATGCTATTAATAATAACATAACATTAATGATCAATATAATCAATAATATAATCAATTCGTTGCATTCTTTCAGAAGAATTAGTATAGCATCCATTACTAATACATAATTAGTAACAGTGTCTATTAGTATCTATTACTATCGTCACGATTTCGTCATTCACCAGCTCGCATTTGTTGCGAATGCATAAAACCCGCGGTCTAGTTATAATCCCCGGCACCCCATAACAATGAACCCAGTATTTCTGGTCGCATCCGGGTCGTCGACCGTAAAGAGCTAAACCGTTTCGTCGGCGGTGCTGTCGAAAATCGGCCAATTTCCTGTCACCGTCCCGTACGCCAGAAAATCGTGTTCTGCCTTCGGCTGGTTGTTGAACGCGCTGACAAACAAGCGTGTGTTTTCTCGTCGCAAGTCGAACACCCCGTGCACCCGGTGCTATACCGTTTGCTCAATCTCCAGTCTGCAATTCTAGGCGGCACTCGGGTCACGGAGCGGCGCGGAGGGGAGGGGGGGTCTCGTTTGTTCGCGCCAAGGGGTGCGTTTCAGCGGCTGCTTTTAACGTCAAGCCTACGGAACGAATGTGCGGAGCGGTCGTGCAACGCTGCGTCGAGCGTGCAGGAACCACTGTCCTCGGTGCACTGGTTAGTCGATACCTTCAGGAATATACCGAAATTCGCGTCCACGAGGAAACCATCAACCGACTGCGGTAATAAACGTCTAAATTCGCAGCGCGATCGGACGTATCGATCAGCACCGGGAACCGGTCCGCGAACTCCTCCGATCGAAAGGCGTTTGAATAACGCACGATGCTCGCTCCCGAAATCGAACTAGGCCGATCTTCTCTTTTAAAACGAGGATTTAGAGCGTTTCCAGGAAGATATGTTGCACGGATCGGCGAGGTAAATCTTAGCGCGATCGTTACTTGCCGGCCGATGCAGCTGCAACGGTTGGCCGTAGCTCGCGGAGTATATTTTCGAGTTTGCTGGTTAATACTTAATTAGGAATTTTGCGCTCGTTTCTATAATAGAGGAGAAGGCAGAGCTTGGAACAGGCGCGATAAATAGCATTTTTAAATTAATAATGAATAGCGAAGCGCTCTGATAATATAAATGAACTGATATATCGCGTTGATTCGCGTTATGTCGCGCTGATCTCTCTCTCTCTCTCTCTCTCTCTCTAATAAAATGTGTTAATATCTTATTAAAATCTTATCTGATACATTTCTTGTTCTTTTAATAAAATTAAGATTTTCTCGAACAGTCCATAACGCGTGAAAATTGGATTTTTTCTTCCTGGAACGAGAACAGAAATGTTTGTAATTTGTAGACCGCAACAGAAGCGTGTCTGTAAAAATATCTGCAATCCATTACCACCGAGGAGGAAAGACAGAAGAATTTTAAAAGCCAGAAGAACTGTATTGATTCTCAAACAATTTCCGCGTCTCCTCCGCGTGACCGCAAGGAAACGTAATATCCGAAGCTTTCAGAAATTCCTTTCGGCCGCGGTTCGATAAAATCGTCGAAATTGTTTGCACATGTGATTTTCATGTCCGCCGGTGTTTGTCGTGGAAACACAACAGCGAGATCGGAAGGGCGAGCGGTTAAACGAACAATACGTGCCGTAGTTAACCTCTTGATTTGCTTGCGTATGACCCATCACGGTAAACAGCTCGGTCACCATTATTGAGGACTGCGCAGAATTAATTAAACCTTTCATTAAATTTACCGCCAAAGCTGACGAGGCTTTCGAATCTATAACGCGACGCGCGCTCGTCTCTTCCGGTGAATTGTGAAATTGCACTTTGTCAATTTTATGGGTTTTGAGTATCTAGGTACTCTGCGTACACGAGATTCCATTTTACAGAAAATTCGATTCGAAATATTATCGGGTACGGTGTAACCTTCATTATGATCCGCCGATCGTGATTGAATTATTTACCAATCGCTGCTACGTGTTGTTGAATAACCATATAAATAATCATATTTATGTATATATATATTTTTTTCAAGAGGAAAAAATTCGCATAAATATGTCGAATTAAGTATCTCTGCATTCAAGAAAAAAAAATATATATATGTAGATATAATTATGTATATGGACAAGTTGTGCTTATTAGGGGATTATATTGTTATATATTATATTATTATACATTATATTATTATGTATTATATAATAATATATTATATTATTATATACTATGTTATTATGCATTATATTATTGTATATTATATTATTATGTATTATATAATAATATATTATATTATTGTGCATTATATTATTGTATATTATATCACTACACATATTATATTATAATATACTTATTATATATATTATATATAATAATTATAATATACTTATGTTATTATAATATATATGTGATTATATGCAAAAGGAAGTGCAACATACGATATTGAAATTACGGTTGAAATCTACTGATGCAGAATAAGTAGAAATCAGTGACGAATAACGCACAGACACTTTAACGTCGTATCAAAGAGTAAGATCAATGAAAGCTGCATAATAAGTCGTCGCGGCTGCAATAAGTAGATGTGAACGTGTAAACACATAAGCGAAGTCAAGTTTACTACGTGGCAGGAATGCTCAGAGAGACATTCGCCGCGGAGAAATCGAACACGGGTAAAGTTTCAACGTACACATTCAAGCCAATTTTTGAAATCGTTGAGTTTGCCGCGTTTGGCTGTTGCAGTTCGAGAACTTTCTCGTACCTAGAAAATTGTTTGCCGTTCGAAGGAATTCGAACGAATTCAATAAAACGGTAGAATGACAAAGTGGGAGAGAAATTAGAAAGTAATCATTCTTATCACAGAACGATAATAAAGCCAATTATATTATTCTAAAGACAGTGAATTCAAGTCATTTTTAATCATTTTTTAACAGACTAAAAATACGACGTAAAAATAATCGACGTTTTAATACGCTATTGCAAATAAAAACTAGCCAGCAATTTTGCCATAAATGCATAAAATCCACGGTCCAACTAATAAAGCACACGTGGTTTGACGCGACGTTAAATAACCACTGTATCAAATCGAATTCTAGTTCGCAACAGTCGCGAGAAACAGTTGTCGCGGCGAAACTATGCAAGCGCTCGTCGAAACAAAAATCCGCGGGTCCAGCAAACGCGTTTCAATCCGAGAAAAAACGCAATAAACGCGGAACCGTGCGAAACGATGTGGGACTGTAAAGAAAGCGTGATTTCTGTCGTTGCGAGCGGAAGTGCCGAGGCGAGCTTAGCTTGTCCAATATTGTTCCTCGTATTACCTACTACGGCAAACAGTTTGCGGCCGTTATCACGGGCCGCACCGAATTAATTAATCCTTTCATTAAAGCCGCTGCGGAAGACCACACGGATGCTGACTGTCTGATCGTAGTGACTATGTCGCACGGGGAGTCGGGTTTTGTGTACGCCGCTGATACGATGTATCCCGTCGATATGCTGTGGGCTCAATTCACCGGTGACCGATGCGCCACCCTGGTCGGCAAGCCTAAGCTGTTTTTCATTCAGGTAAGCAAGTTCCATCAATCACTAATGACTGTGCTGATTTTTTTAAATTATAGGAGGTATGACATTATATGTCATCATTTTGAGAATGACTAGTTAGAAGAACGACACCAGTGGGACGGTGTCATTTTTTAACCATCGTACACTTTTTAAAAATAATCGCACAGAAGATTGTCGGTTAATAGATTGATTGACATATGAGGATGTCACAATTCTCTGTCGATTTTTTGAAATTCCATTAAAATTTGTAGGATTTTAAAGAGTCGAAATATAAAATATATAAATGTATAAAATATAAAATATATAAATATAGAAGATATAAAATATAGAAAATATAGAAAATATAGAAAATATAAAATATCTAAATATAGAAAATATAAGATATATAAATATAGAAAATATAAAATATATAAATATAGAAAATATGAAATATATAAATATTGAAGATATAAAATATATAAATATAGAAAATATGAAATATATAAATATTGAAAATATAAAATATATAAATATAGAAAATATAAAATATATAAATACATATACAACATAAAATAATCGCCTAATAATAATAATAATCGCCTAAATATATAAACACCTGAGCACCCGACCGAACCTAGCCCAACCCAGCCCAACGATATTTGATTTTCCACGAGCACTCGACTATCGTGACTGCAGAATCGTTTCGATCGCGAGAAGTGCGCTAACAGCCGTTACCTCGGCCATCAACCGCACGACGGAAACTAAAAAGATATTATACGCCATAATACTGTAAATCTTAGTTTCCGGTACGATGTAATCCGGTCAGGGGCTTTTTTCCATTTATCTGCTTCAGTAAGATCTCTCACGGATTTTCAGCGGATTACCGGGTGGATGCCTGTGTTTTTTAGCCCCGGCAGCCCGTGAAACGCGCATATCCCGCGGGATAATGGAACCGTTTGCGAAGAAAGCATACAACTCAACGGTTGTAATTAAGATTACTCGTTACGTAGCTTGAAAAAAAAAAATGGAGCAACAATAGCTGAGAAAGTACCACCTTCGAATAACCCGAGACGGGAATTTCGGTTCCTTCGCGAATTGTTCCGCGGGAGCTCTTAACGAATTCACTCATCGCGTTCCGGACGATTATGAGATTATGTTCCTGCTGGTTTAGGGTAACTGCATCGTAGTGGATGCTTCTTAACAGCTATCCGGAGTGGGATAATCATATCGCATTGCATAGAATTTCGCAGAAGCGATATCGATTTCAGTAAATCGAATTTCATCGTATTCGGTGAAAATGTAAAAATTTCAAATGTCGCTGGCGATGATAAGATTAGGTTACAAGTAAGATTATGTATGATTATGAAACGAATAAGATTATGTAAGATTCACAAACAAACAAATAAAATGAGTGAAGTAAATGAAGTAGACAAAAAGAAACGAAACGAAAATGAACAGAAGAAATGAAAATCGAGTATAATAAACGAAGAAATAGAAGTATAATACATATAGTACCTTTACGCATAATAAAAAATATTCCGTGTTAATTGTATCGAACAAGATTTCATTAAAAATCTGTTCGTTCCTTCGATGATTTCAATAAATGATGAAGAGTGTAAAAGAATGTCCTTAAATGCACGACATAGTAATTCCAAATAACATAACACAGCGAGCACGAAAATACAGTTAAAACGAAGCTGAAAGTGTGCTAGCAGTGACATTATAAAATGATTGAATATCTGAATAAGAAAAAAAAGGAAAAGTGAAGCAAAAATAAAGTAGATCAAGCAGAGAAGCGAGGAAGTAGGTCGGCTAATAAAATCGCCGGAATAAAGAAAACGGGTNAGAAAATATGAAATATATAAATATTGAAAATATAAAATATATAAATATAGAAAATATGAAATATATAAATATTGAAGATATAAAATATATAAATATAGAAAATATGAAATATATAAATATAGAAAATATAAAATATATAAATATAGAAAATATAAAATATATAAATACATATACAACATAAAATAATCGCCTAATAATAATAATAATCGCCTAAATATATAAACACCTGAGCACCCGACCGAACCTAGCCCAACCCAGCCCAACGATATTTGATTTTCCACGAGCACTCGACTATCGTGACTGCAGAATCGTTTCGATCGCGAGAAGTGCGCTAACAGCCGTTACCTCGGCCATCAACCGCACGACGGAAACTAAAAAGATATTATACGCCATAATACTGTAAATCTTAGTTTCCGGTACGATGTAATCCGGTCAGGGGCTTTTTTCCATTTATCTGCTTCAGTAAGATCTCTCACGGATTTTCAGCGGATTACCGGGTGGATGCCTGTGTTTTTTAGCCCCGGCAGCCCGTGAAACGCGCATATCCCGCGGGATAATGGAACCGTTTGCGAAGAAAGCATACAACTCAACGGTTGTAATTAAGATTACTCGTTACGTAGCTTGAAAAAAAAAAATGGAGCAACAATAGCTGAGAAAGTACCACCTTCGAATAACCCGAGACGGGAATTTCGGTTCCTTCGCGAATTGTTCCGCGGGAGCTCTTAACGAATTCACTCATCGCGTTCCGGACGATTATGAGATTATGTTCCTGCTGGTTTAGGGTAACTGCATCGTAGTGGATGCTTCTTAACAGCTATCCGGAGTGGGATAATCATATCGCATTGCATAGAATTTCGCAGAAGCGATATCGATTTCAGTAAATCGAATTTCATCGTATTCGGTGAAAATGTAAAAATTTCAAATGTCGCTGGCGATGATAAGATTAGGTTACAAGTAAGATTATGTATGATTATGAAACGAATAAGATTATGTAAGATTCACAAACAAACAAATAAAATGAGTGAAGTAAATGAAGTAGACAAAAAGAAACGAAACGAAAATGAACAGAAGAAATGAAAATCGAGTATAATAAACGAAGAAATAGAAGTATAATACATATAGTACCTTTACGCATAATAAAAAATATTCCGTGTTAATTGTATCGAACAAGATTTCATTAAAAATCTGTTCGTTCCTTCGATGATTTCAATAAATGATGAAGAGTGTAAAAGAATGTCCTTAAATGCACGACATAGTAATTCCAAATAACATAACACAGCGAGCACGAAAATACAGTTAAAACGAAGCTGAAAGTGTGCTAGCAGTGACATTATAAAATGATTGAATATCTGAATAAGAAAAAAAAGGAAAAGTGAAGCAAAAATAAAGTAGATCAAGCAGAGAAGCGAGGAAGTAGGTCGGCTAATAAAATCGCCGGAATAAAGAAAACGGGTGGAACAAGTAAGAACTAAGTATAATAAATGAAGGGAGAGAAGAAAATACGGAATGCACGGACGGCAATTCAAGAGCCGTCGCTGCTCTGTAAAATTGTTTCGCGAGCTTTGCTCCAATTCAGTCATTGCTTTCCGGAGAATTATATTACACTGGGGTTTCAACGAGCAAAAAGAACTTCATTGCCACTGGAAAGTTCAAGAGCACGTGCCCGTGAGAAAGATACTTTGAACTCCGCCTGAATCGACATCCGTGCATTGCGTTCGCTTGTTTCAAAATTATCGCATATCTTCGAGTCGCGTTTTAAAGAACGTTTTAGTAGGTTTTGTACACGACTGGAAACGCTGAAGGATTTTAAATTATCGCGTAAATTATCGCGAATATATAAAATATAAAATCACTATAAATATACGACACTATGAAGAACACTTCAAGTTCGATGTAACATTTTGTTCGTGTAACGTAGAGAAGTGACTTGCGTTTAAGATGGCACAGAGAATATTTTAAAAGAAAAATATTCAGTATTATAATTAAACATTTTTTAAGGCAACGTGTCGACCGAATACAGTAATTTCTCCCTACTTCGCGCTCAGATCGTGCTAAAAAATGAACAATTTTATTCGAGAAAATTATTCGCACCTTGCGGCTCGTTTCTATAGTTACCGATTGTCTATAATTACTATAAAAAAAGGAGCTCGACTAATCGTATCTCCTCTTCCCAAATTGTCCACTTTGGAATTAGGGGAGAATTTACTGTACACGTTAATCGAGAAAAGAAGAGGAACTTTCGTTGCGCCTTCTCTTTTGTTTCCACCGAAATCGTGCAAGTCATGCGGCTTCTGGCAAGAAGCGAAGTTTCCCCGCGATGAAATTATTGTCGGCCGCAAAGGGTTGCGGAATCGGCGTCGCGAGAGGCACGCGGAAATCGAGGGAGCGAAACTCGCGCGGACACGGTCTCGAGAGCGAAGAGAGAAGAAGAAGAAGAGCTGACGCGCTGCGCTGGTTTTCCGGTTGCTCGCGGAAAGCGTAGAGGCGGCACGCTAACGGAAGTGGAAAAGACAACACGGTTAATTATCCGTACGACGTTTCAAAGGGACATGAAAGAGTTTTATAGTTGACGAGGTTACTTCTCAACTCGTTTAACAAGCTCTTCAGTATGTGCTACGGCCGAGACGTACGGCGAGGCGGCGTTAAGCCACGGAAAGTTAGGCGGCAACGTGATAACGTAAGGTTGAAGCATACGCGAGGAAGTCGGCTCATTAAAAATACGGCGGATCGGTACAGGCACGCGAATCGTAGAATTCCGTTCCGCTTCGTTCCGCCGGTGTCTTGCCGAAGATAATTATTTTGGCGAGTGTACACAGCTCGCGAGCGCGGCACAGGGAACTTCGCCGAACGTCCAATTAACCACTTCGCTCGGAAGAGCATACGAGATTAGTAATTAGAAGCGTTTGAGCACATATGATTACTCAGGGACACGAGATAGTGATTTCAATGAAACCGTGCATTTTCGAATCTGAAGGAAATGGTTTTTAATAGGAAAGAATTTTAATGATCGCAAGGGATGCGCCGAATGGTGCGATGAAATGCGATCATCATTTCAGATGTTTGTATTATGTTTGCTTTGTATTTTATTTTGCAACTTTGGTTATCAATGTATTTGAGACGAGCATGTTTTTATTGCAGTGAAAGTAGAGACTTCATCCTTTAAAGCGAGCATAGGTGTC